AAAAAAAAAAGAAACAGAATAAGCAATATTAGATATGATCTTAAAGAAACAACAATAAACTTATAACTAACCACCACCCTTTTCAACTTTTATCGGATGATAGGAAGCTGCAATAAAACCTTATTTTTTTCCAATAATCAATAGCATTACATGTTTACACGACATTAAGAACTAAGAACATTGCAAATGTGAATATTCTAAGGGAAGACTTTTAAGCACAAAGTAAAAGCTGAAGCTGAGGTTTCATCAATCATCTAACTGAACTCTTGTTGAGTAAAAAAGTTGCAAAAACTATACACAGAATGCTACTATCGACGATGAGGCAAGTTTAATTTTTTTCACAGATGTAATCTGTTGGTTCTGTTCAGATAAAATTGATTCCGGAAAAATAAAAGACATGTATGACGTGAAGAGCTAAGAACACTGTGCATTATCATCCAAACCCAGCAGCAAAGGATGAAGAAAAAAAAAAAGTACTAGAAAGAATAATGTGTTTGACTAAGAGTACGTTTGGGAAGCACAATAAGCTAGCTTATAGTAAAAAATAAGTTTGATTTGGTAGAACGGGTTTTTTTAAAAAAGTTCGAGTTCATCTCATATACTTCCTTGCCAACTTTACAAATAAAACTGTTGAAATTAGTTTATCAGCTAATTTTATCAAACACTTTTATCACATAAATAGTCATAAGTTATGTGCTATAAGCTCGAAATTCAGTTATAAACTATCAACTAGCTTAATAACTAGCATATCAGCTAAGTTTACCAAACATAGCCTAACAATAAGCATTTTAGAACACAAACCTGCTTTCGACGCCTCCAATCCTCGATCCCTTCCTTAGCCATTGTTGTCCCAATCACCAAGAGCAAAGGCGCAAGAATGCTCGAAGCCGTGTAAGGAGCTAACGGGCTAAACGACACGCAAGCCACCACGAGAAAATATATATTGGCGACCCTTCTAAACTGCTCGAACAAAGACTTGGGAATAAAATTAACCGCCGTATATTTAGTGGTCGAAACATAGTTACTCCGGTACCGGAGCACGAGCTGCTCCGAGCTGTCCGGGTCATTACAGTACACAACCCTAGAGTAACCCTTTTGCCCAATCTGACTATGTTCATCCCTAAAAGAAGACCTAAAACATGAAAACGAGTAGAGTCTACTGAACTGAATCCCCTTTGGCTGAGGACCGCCGCTCATTTTTTTCTTTTCCCCTAATTAAAAAAATAACAAAAAA